CAGATTTTATCTGAAGAGAATGTCTTCAAAGGAGACATTTGAATGTTTATATGAATACTTACTCACCTGCCTTCATGTTTAAATAATAGCAGAAATTATAGATGCTTTATAAGAATTAATTCATTAAGTCTCATCATTCTCTGGAGTAGGTACTTTTTGTTGCCGTCATTTTGCAGTTGAAAAAACTGAGCATAGAGCGGTTAAGTAATTTGCAGAAGATGACTCAGTTGTTAGTGGAACTTAGATTCCCAGGCAGTCTGTTTCCAAAGCCTATACCTTTTCCCACTATATTCTTTGAGAGCATGTATGTTTCCTTAAGAAAAGGGAATAAATTTTTTTCCTTGTTAATTTCTCCACACCTCCTAGTAGCCAACTTAGAATGGTTTTTGACTTTGCAAATAGATGTCTCAGCAGTTCAGCAGTCTGCTTGTCTTCTCTGCGTTTTCCTTTCACCATTCAGCTGTCTCTTATCCTCTTTAGTCATGATCCCTGCCCCCCCCCCCCCCCCGCCTTTTCTGGATGGAGTTGTAAACCCCATTTGCCACCAGAGTACTCTGTGTAGCCCCAGCCATTAGACAAAGCTTGAGACAGGGCAGCAGTTGTTGTCTGAGTCTCTTCTAGAATCAAGGGTGCACATACCACAAAACTCAAAAAAAGGGGGGAGGGGCAGAGTACTCAATGTGATCATCTTTCACTGATTGTTATTCATTCCACAAGCATTTACTGAACAGCAACTCTGTATGCCTGGAACTGTGTAGGGAGGAGGTGAAATGTACAAAGTGGAGAAGAGTAAAAAGACAATGTATCGCCCATCATCCCTGATCTTTCAGTCTTCGTCAGGGCTCGTATTTCATAGCTAGTATGTGTCGACAAAAGTGACATGATTTTTATTAAACGGATGAAGCAGTGTGGTTTCGAGGTCTAGTTAATGGAGTGCATTGTAAACCAGCTCCCACTCCCACGACTTCCCGTTGACTACACTGTAAATCCTCTGCATCTGCCTGAGGGGCTCTGTGCTACATGCCACACTGGTGTTTGGGAGAATTAAGTGCTTAAAATTGTCTAACCCTATGCTGTTAAGTAGGAACATGCTCCTCTTTTCAAAAATTCAAGCAATTGTTGAACAAAGACAAAAAATGTAGGAGACTTAAATTTCAATTTACTTATCCAATGGTGAACTTTGTGGTTTCTCTTTAGCGCAGAGGAAGAAGAATGACAGATGGTAATCTCACATTGACACTGTAAAGATGTGGGAAAGTAGTCACAATCTAAAAACTCAAAATGATGAGAAATTTTTACTTTTTTTCAGAAAAAACTTTAGGTCAAGAAAATCAAGTAATTTGTGTTTGGAGACTCTTGTATCCTCCTTGTTATATCTGTATGTATGAAATATGAAACCCTGTAGCAAGATTCCACCTTACTTAATATCATAATTATAAATACACTGCAAAAAGGGTATCTTATGCCATTGAACTCACTGTGATAGTTATTGGCTACACGTATTTTTGCAGTTTCAAACTAGGACTTGCAGTTTTTCTTTTATTCAGCAAAAATATATTGACATTGAGAACAATTTGTTTAATAACATTTGGTTTTTTTATTAATTCATTCCTTTACTTCATTCCTTCATTTGTAGTTTAAACAGATTTAAAACTGGCATAAGTTTACAACGAAACATACACAATAATCTTCATAGAATTGTTTGTAAAGCAAAAAATTGGGGGTTAAGTGTTTCTAGGTAGAAAATTGGTTATTAGTTTAGATGAATGTGGAAAATGATGAAACGGTTCTGTAATTATTGACCAAAAAGTTATTCACCCTATAATATTTTTTAAAAATTACAAAAGTGGACTATAAGTTAATGTTTTCCAATGGTGTGTGCAAAATGACATATCAAAATGTTAATTGTATTTCTCTCTGAGTGAATTTGCAGATGGTCTTGTCTTCACTTGCAACTTTCTGTCTTTTGTATTGTCTGAGGTTTTTAATTACCATTATTGTTTTTATAATTAGCATGTGTAAGATAAATAGAAAAGATAGAAAAAAATTTTAATCAAACTTGAAAGGGTAAAAGGAACTCTGAAATTGACTGTTAATTAATTAAGCATACCAAAAAATGTTGGCATATTGCATGTTTATTTTCTTTGCACTGTAAGTTGTTTTTGAGATTTCCACTCCTCCCTCCCCCATGCCTCTGCTAAAATAGCACTGAAGATTGATGTAACTCCTTTCCTTACCCCATAGTTTACTGTTCCCTATCCTTCACCTATCTCCCTCTGCCTGCTTGAGCTAAAATGACAGGCAGATTCAGTTTGAGGTGGAACATTAAGTCACTGGTCATTCCTCTGATATTAAGCCTGTCCTTTACCTCAGTCTGCAAGTTAGGTAGTGCAGATGGAACTTGGGTGTGTTTCGCTAACAAAGAGTCAATTTAACCATCTCTCTTGGGTGATGTAGACTTAAGCTACTAAAGATACCCAGGTTTACCCTAAGAATTCTAGACTACCAGAAATTAGAATGAGATGATTTTTTTCAAGGGTAGAGAAGTGTGACTCAGCCCTCTTCTTGGCCCTTTAGATTCTAAAGTCATTACTTAGTCTGAACTGAAAGCCCACATTTTTTAAAAGTATATTGGCCAATTTCCAGGTATTTTGTGTCTACAGTTGGTATTACTGGTTTAAATCTTGAACCCTGACTGGGCTGGTTTAAAAGTTTCAGTTTCAGCAATTTAGCAGCTGAAGGAGAAAAATCAGAGAGCATAGGCAGAAGGCAAGAGTACTGAACAGACCTGTCTACTGGGTGGTCCATTAACTGTGATATAAATGAATGAGGCTTAGCAGCAAGTCCAAAAAACCCTAAACAAGGTTTGTTAAAACTTAAGCAAGGTTATGTTAGGAGGACTTTTAAAGACTTTATTTTGATCTACCTCAGAAGATCATTAAAAAGGTATGTTTCCATTGTAGCTTTAATAACTGAGAACACGGGGAACATGAATATCTTACCAGGTTAGAGTCCCAGAATCTGCCCAAGTTGCAGGTGACATCAGCCAAGAGTCACACTTCCATGTTCTTTACCCTTTTTTTATATTTAACATTAGCTTTTGCTAATTTTTCTCCTTTTCCCTTTAGGTTCCTTCTTACTACTTGCTCTACTACACCTAAATTCTCAACACCAAAAATAAGGGAATATAAAGATGAGGAAAGGGGCCTCCCCGGTGGTGCAGCGGTTGAGCGCTGGGTTGCGAAGCTGCCCGCAGCCTCCCCGGCGCCAGTTCGATCCCCGGCTGCTCCCCGGCCACCGGAGGAGGGTCCCAAATGGCGCGCAGACCTCTCCTGCCGCCCACTGCTCCCCTCAGCAGTGTACTTCAGTCCTTCTGCCTACTCTGCTCCCCACTCTGGCTCTGGTGAATTCTCTCACCCTCCCGCGTTTCTGACTGTACCCAGTGCTTGTATAAATAAATAAATCTTTTAAAAATAAATAAATAAATGAAGATGAGGGAAAAAGTGAAAATAGAGAATGGAAGGAAAGGAGTAGATTCTGGGATTTCCAGAAATCTAAACTTTTTTTTTTAATATTGCTTGATTTTTTTTTTTTCCCCCCAGTAAGGATTGATCCTGTCTGGGTAGAGAATAGTAGGCCTGGAGTTAAGAATTTGGGCTCTCCAGCTCCTCCTCAGGCAAGTGGCTCACCCTTCTTATCATCATGTATCAACTGCCACGGAGACTCAAGTCCTTAATATGATAAAGTTTTAGGAAGTGGTAAATCAATGAGGGTTGACTATTATTAACTTCTAATGGTATTTTTATAATCAAGACTTGTGTGCATTTTGGTATTCTCAAATTTGGAAGAAGTAGATCACTCCCTGTGTCATGGGGTCTCACTAATGGAGGCAGCTTGATTGTCTTCTCTGAGGCCCTGTGCGTTACCTCAGCACAGGAAGAGGGACGTGAGTGCCCCTGCCTGAAGTCTGAAACAGGGTCGAGGAGTTGTCCATGCCACCAGAGCTGCTTCCCAGATCTCATCAAGGACCTCGAAGTCCACCTCCCATAGCAGACCTGCATTTTGAGAGAAATACCTCCTTGAAAATAAGAAGAGGGGCCTCCCAGGTGGCACAGTGGTTGAGCGCTGGGTTGCAAAGTTTCCCGCAGCCTGTGCAGCACCGGTTCGATCCCCGGCTGCTCCAAGGCCACCAGAGGAGGGTCCCACATGGTGCGCAGACCTCTCCTGCCGTCCATTGCTCCCCTCAGCAGTGTACTTCAGTCCTTCTGCCTGCTCTGCTCCCCGCTCTGGCTCTGGTGAATTCTCTCACCCCCCCCCTTCTGACTGTACCCAGTGCTTGTATAAATAAATAAATAAATAAATCTAAGAAAAAAATCCTTAAATAAAAAAAAAAAGAGGATGAGAAGTGTATCATGGGGACAGGGAGAGAGGATAACACTTGTCAAGAAATAGAGCAAAGGGGCCTCCCCGGTGGCACAGCAGTTGAGCGCTGGGTTGCGAAGCTGCCTGCAGCCTCCCCGGCACCAGTTCGATCCCCGGCTGCTCCCCGGCCACAGGAGGAGGGTCCCACAAGGCACACAGACCTCTCCTGCCGCCCACTGCTCCCCTCAGCAGTGTACTTCAGTCCTTCTGCCTGCTCTGCTCCCCACTCTGGCTCTGGTGAATTCTCTCACCCTCCCGCGCTTCTGACTGTACCCAGTGCTTGTATGTATGTATAAATCAATCAATCAATAAATCTTTAAAAAGAAAAAAAGAAATAGAGCAAAAGGTATCAGTAAAAACCCAGGTAGATAACCCTTCAGGCAATGAAATGTGGTCCTTCAGTGGCAAGTCATGTTCAGTCAATGCTAAAGTGACTTGTTCCAGGTTAGAGCAGCAGCTTCTCAAATCCCCACAGCTCCTCCAGGAACAAGGACCAACTTTCCAGAAACACCTTCTCCAACTTTGAAATAGGAAGAGGTGCTGGTGTTTACTGACTCCTGACTCTGCTTCCCTTCCAGCTGACCCTCTGGTGGGCAGCATCGCCACACAGTACATGACCAACAGAGCGGAGCACGACCGGATGGCCAGACAGTGGACCAAGCGGTATGCCACATAGGGCCCCGCCTGCCCCCGCCGGACCTGTGCAAGCACATTCACCAAGTGCATCAATAGCCCTACCCACCCCTCCGACCTCGGTTCTTATTTTCTTATTTTTATTAAATTTGAACCGTTCTGTGATGGTATGTCATCTGTCCCTCTCCTGCCTCCCCTGTTTCCTTCTCTTCCCCCTTCCCTCCCACCTCTTGTTTTATTCCTTTTTTTTGATTTCTTTTAACTTGAAAGAATTGGGTTTTTTTCCCCCCCACCTCAATTTGGATGGAAATCTTTTTTGTTTTTTTCAGAACAAAAAATGTCAGTCTGTAATAAGAGCTTTCTTACAAAGCCTTGTATTACTGTGTGGTTTTGTTTTTTATTATTTGTTTTATTTTAATTTTTTTCCTTTTATGTGATCTTTGGGAAAATACGAATTCAGAATTATATCTTGTTTCTACCTAAATGTAGTGCTTAGGGTTAATTTTTTGTACTGAAGTCTTTATTGGTGGGTGCATGCTACTGGGAACAAGTTTTTGTACAAAAGCTTCAATCAGAATCACTGTGCATTACAGAGACTCTGTTTATCACTAGCCTTCTGTCCCTCACGCAGAAGACAGTTGGATTGAACAAAATAATATGTATTTTGATTTACTTAAAGTGCTTGTAAATTTCTTAGGGACCTGCCACTTTTGACTGTGGATCAGTTGATGTACACTTGCATTATTAAAGCACTCAATAAATCACTGTGGCTGATAAATGCACTCCTGGTAACCCGGCGTTTACTTTGTGTCCTGGTGACCAGCACAGCCTTCCATGTGGCAAGGCTTGTCTAACTCCATTACATATTTAAGTACATTTTACATCTCAAACCTTTTAATGTTTCTTTGTATTGAATTGATTAACATGTGGGATTTCGCCAGTTGCAATAGCCTGATGATCTTACGGTGGTTTCAGATTATTCTCATTTCACATTTTGGCTGGACATTAGAAATCCTTTTTGTCACCACCACTTCACTGAACAATCAAAATATGTGACTCCAAAATTAACCCTCTAGCGAAAGTGAAGGCTGAGCCATTCATTGTGTTCAATCACTTTTGAATTGATTTCTCTTTTTTCCTCTTTAAAGTGTTATAGTGATTGCCCTTGAGTTTTGCTTTTTTCTTTTTCTCTGTGATTTTGGTGGAAGACGTAAATCCAACTTTGTGTAGCACATTCGGTGATGAGGTTATGTCTGTTCAGGCTTTGACCTTGTGCTTTTTCAGGTATGCAGCTATAGGAAGCAGAGAAAACTTGTGTGGAGCAGCTTGAAACACACACTGATATGCTAATTGATAGTCAGGTCAAGGTTCTTTGTGTTATAAGGCATATTGGAAACTCCTGCTTCCATTAATAATAGCTCCTAGTTCAACATATAGTTTGGTGTCATTTAAGGAACACCTTTGCTGCTGAATATAGGATTTTCAATAGTTACTCGCCTCTATTATTTCTGATTTAAAAGATACAGGTTTTTGTTGTTTTTAAATGGCTAAAAAGAAATCCCAAGGGAAATATAATTAAATATTGAAAATGTTACTTTTGAACCAAAGTACCTGGGGATGTTTTTTTCTAGTTCTAATAATGATTTCCTCATTTTATTTGAAAACATTTTCCAGCACAGCAGAATACCATATGGTCTCTGTCACAACTACTCAAGTCTATAGTTGTAGCAAAAGGAACTACAGATAATACGTGTGAAGGGACATAGTTATTTTCCCAAACAGTAAGTATAGTGGATTTAGCCTTGAGTTGTAGTTTGCTAATTCCTGGTACAGACCACCAGAGTCCAGGGAGGGAGAGAGTCAGATGTCAGATAACTAACCGTTAAACATTTTTCTTTAAAATAAAGTAAATTTAATTATTATAAGACTAATTTTTAGAAAATCATTGAAAATGTTTTATTTCCCGCAGTCTTTCTCACAGAGGTTTTTATTTTTACTTTATAGATTTAAAAATTATACTCTAAAGGCATTGCAATTTGTTTAATGGCTTTTATTTTTTTTACTTTTGACTGATTAAAATAGACTCTTGATATTAATGCTGATTCTTATAGACAATGTTTAAATTCAGTTTGCTTTTCTTTTAAAATGTCAACTCCAACGGACACACATTTTCTATAAAATATCCAGGATATTCTCATATCTGGTTGTATACTTTAGATCATTTTAACATGTATATTATTTAGAAGCCAGAGAATATAACTGTTCTAGTAGAAGATCCTATCACAAATCTGTTTGCTTTCCCTGTCACTTTTAGGTTTAATGCTAATTTAATATGAGGAGTCAGTAACACTTCTGCCCATTTTTATGAACTCTGAATATTTAATGACAAACAAAAGTACCCATCCCTCAAAATGTGAAAGCTAGAGAAAAGAGAGACCATTGAAGTTTTAGTTGCGCCTGGTAAATCTAGATTCTGGATAACATGGCAATTTTGCTTGAGATCTATAATCACAGCACGCATTCCAATTCCATTAAGTTTTCAGAACATTTATAAATTAAGATTTGGGAGTAGTTTAACACTCAGCGAGCTAAATAGTTTTGATAATTATAACATTTCTAAAATTTAGGAATTATTTTACAACCTATATTATTTAGCTTTGCATACCAATTATTGCTAGTTGTAGTATTTTGTAACTTTGTTAAATAAAATCTTGGCAGGTACTTGGCTAAGGCAGGACCATTGGTCATTGAGAAAATAGTTTGAAATGACATTTTTTGAATCTTAAATCACTGAGATAGTTGTGGCTTTAATTTGTCATAAAACTTCAAATAAATATTGTTCTTCATCTCTTGTTCTAGAGGAACCCATTGAAGATAGCAAATGCATAAGTAGCCAGTCTTATCATTTCAAGATTAGAAAGTAAACCAGAAGTTCATCATGGAATATTGGTTTTGGGAACTAGGAAGAAAGGAAGTATTTTTTCAGAATGTCCTATGTACCAGGTCAGAGGTTACCTGATCTTCACCTTTAGAATGTAAGCTAACTGTGATAGTTTAAATATTGTCCCCCTTAAATTCCTATGTTGAAATCCTAATCCCCAAGGTGATGGTAATAGGAGGGTGGGGCCTTGGGGAAAGATTAGGTTATGACATCAGTGCCCTCCAGATTGAGGTTTGCCCTCATCAAAGAGTTCCATCTTGTGAGGACACAGTGAGAAACCAACACTACAAACTGGATGAGGGTCCTCACTGGAATCCAATCTGCTGGCACCCAACTGCATGAGATAAATTTCTATTGTTCTTGTCACCTAGTCTGTGGTGTTTTGTTCCAGCAGCCTCAGCTGACTAAGACAGTGACTCTCATTTTTACACAGCTAACAAGGCATCAGAGTGAGATTCCCACCCAAGAGCCCTCGCTATCAATTACAAAATCTTGTATATACCTTTCCTGTATTTATAAGATCAATCTATAAAAACAAATTGGCATAATCCAATGTTAGAGTCAAGGTGCTCTGCCATGTCTAGGTGGTAGAGATTTTGCCAGTGTCAGTGAGTGGGAAAAACAGGTTAAAGGAAATATAGACCTGTTATTAACTGGGAGAACAAACAGCATTTCTGATTTGAGAGATGCCATGGAGAAACATGTCACTTGGAAGACCCCCGAAATTCTCTGCATCTTAGTACTTCCGTAAAAGAGTCTGATAATTATTTTCAGACATGGCAGTTTTTAATTGTCTCTATAATAATTTGTGCTTTAAAAGGGATATGTTCATAGTTAATACTGAGAACAGTTGAAATTGTACCCAGGAAATCTGTACCAGAGGATCCTCACCTACCCTTGTATTTTATTTCAAGGTGACCTTGTAACCCTCAAAATGTCTCTTATGTATGGGGTTCTCTAGCATGTGGGGCAGCACACAATGTCCCTTTCTGCAGTAGTCCTCAAAGGAAATATAAGCAAACCTATTTAAAGTCTGAATTATAGTACTTCAAGCTATATTATATTTGGAATATCTTGTTGGCATTTTCAAAGGGCTAAGGGAAGGTTGGCCTCTGAGGACCTCCCATAATCACTCATTTCCCCACGCCTATGCTTCCCCTGAGGAACTGACTGGTTCCCTTAAGCCTAGAACCTTCTTTCTCCACTAGGCACCTTCCACTCTCACATTCTACCACAAACATGTGGCTTAGGGTGGCCAATATATCCCAGTTTGGCCAGGACTTTCCAAACTGTTTTAAACTGGGAAGTCCCTTGTCTCAGGAACCCCTTCATCTGGGACACACCAGATGAACTTCAGTGCTAGGACTGAATTTCAGCGTAATGTCTCTAATATTCCACAGGGCCAGTTTAAGTGGCCCAAAGAAGTGTTTTACCTGAGGAATGGTACTGATTGGATACCCCGCAGTCCTTCTAGAAGAGGTGTGCACGCTAAGTTCTGAGGAACTCCCTCCACTCGGTGGATTTCTGATAGCACATGAGTGACTTCATCCTGCCTTTACATCTTCAAATATAACTTAAGGTATGTATCCCTCTCTATGAATGAATAATCTTAAGCATAAAAATGCATTTTAAAAAATAATTTTGTTTTATGACTAGAAATTATATATACTATATTTTGGTTGAATAACTGTGAATGTTATTTCAATCATTTTCAACTTACGCCTTTCCTTTCTGCTTTGCTTTTCTTTGCCAATAAGTATGCATCATATGAAGGAAAAAAACTATTCTTTCAAATGAAAGGCTTTTCTATGCTTTAGTGTGCCTGTTCCTTGAGAAGATTGTTTTAAAGGGAAATCCAGGAATTTAAAAAAACTTATGTATGAGATCCAGGAAAATGGAAGCACTAGTATAAGCCCCTGTATCTCTTGCCTGTTTACATATCCATATAGTCAAAGTGGTACCAACACAGACTGCTCCAGAATCTTCGAGTGAGGATTTTCAGTTTGGCTACAGAAAAATCTTTACCCAATAATGCCAGCATCTTTTAGAACTGATATGGCCAACCCTAATCCCACTCTCATATCATCCCCAGCACCCTGCAACATTGACCTCTCATCTGTCTCTTAAAATCTTATGTGGAAGGTCAAAGTTCAGAATGACAATAACATTCCAGCTTACAGGAAATCTAAATTTATTAGGCTATTCAGCAGAAAAGCCACAGATGCTTTGACATTGGTGCTACTGAGCACATTGAGAAACACAAGCAAGATTCTTCTCTTTAGTGTATAGAGCAAGAACAGTACAAAGGAGAAAGAAGTTATCCTCTCTTGATACAGCTTGTCTGTATTGAGGTTGCATGGAAAGTAGATAACATTCTTCATTGTCTGTTGAATCGCCAACTTGAAACCACTGACAGATAAGTGAAGATGGCCACCTCCCTGAAATCTGGCAGTTTTAGTCTCTCTCCTTTAGATCAACAAACAACTTTATGTTCACCACCAATCAGCTCCAAGTGCTATGATTTTAAAAAGCAGCTTATGGACGGCCTCCCCGGTGGCGCAGTGGTTGAGAGCTGGGCTGAGAAGCTGCCCGCAGCCTCTGCAGCACCTGTTCGATCCACGGCCACCCCGGGTGAGGGTCCCACATGGCGCACAGATCTCTCCTGCCGCCCCCTGCTCCCCTCAGCAGTGTATCATCAGTCTGCCTGTACTGTTTCCCACTCTGGCTCTGGTGAATTCTCTCACCCTCCCGCACTTCTGACTGTACCCAGTGCTTGTATAAATAAATAAATAAATCTTTTTTTTTAAAAAAAAAAAAAAAGGCAGCTTATGAACAGTTAT